GCCGAAAGTTTGTGTGCTGCGCATGTTTCGTCTTACGATGTCCCAAACTACTTTAGCCGTGATCACCAGACAGAATTTCAAGCACCAAGAAAATACCGAAACTTGAGATCTTCACGTGTCGGGCCCTGGGAGGCGATACTCGTTCGACACCGTTTCGAGACTCTTCTGGGTGCTCTGAATTACTCTTTGGGATGCGGCCCCCAAATACGACGGGATCCACAGGAGTTTCGGCTCTCGTCCTTCTCGTCACCGTCGTCGTCCTCCAGGAGGCGGGCGGGAGCGGCGGGACGACTTTTGCCTCGCCCGGGGGCACACACAGGTGCCTGCAGGAGGGCACCGGGCACTCCCGGCGGCCGCTGGCGAACCAGGCGCGCACGTGCGCCGGGTGGCCCCCGTGGCCGCAGGTCTGCGCCGGAGAGCCCAAGGACCGCCGGAACGACTGCTGCCTGTCCTCGCCCCGCCCGAGCGTTTGTCATGGATCTCGGCCCCTGGGGCCCGGTAGCAGTAATGCTAAAAATAACAGTAGGTATTAAAGCAAATACATATGGAAGAAAAAAAGCCAGGCCCAGGAGCCACCCAAAGTGGGCCCGCGACGGACAACGGGCCCCCGGGGAGAGGGTCGGCGCTGCGGGGGCCATACACCGAAGAGGCCACATCGGCGGATGGTCAGGGTGCACACGGACGCGCACGTGCATGTGCGCGTGGCCGCACACGTGCGCTTGCAATCATGCGCAGTCGCACGAGCAGGACGCGCGCGCACGCGCACGCAAACGCAAACGCATTCGCACACGCGGACGCGCACGCGTGCGCGTACGCGTACGCCGTCGCACGCCTGCAAACGCATTGTCGGGGGCGCGCAAACAAGAATTAGCCATCCATGGGTTTGGCGCGCGGCCGCGAAATCCATGGATCGGGGGAAGTGCCCTCCGCAAAATGCGGTCGGTGCCGCCTCGTGCGGGGGCGGAAATCCGCGATGTCCCATGGAAACGGGACCCGTCGCTAATCCAACCCCCCTTGATCCATGTTTGCAATCGTCTGAACGAGGCACGGGCGGCGGCATCGGTACCTTTTTGTTCTCCCCCCTGCGACGAGGGGGGGTTCTGGGAAATCGGGCTTGGGCGCGAGGGCGCTGCGCCGAGAATCGGCGGCGAGCGAGGAGGGGAAATGAGAAAGGGCGGGCCTCCTCGGAAGGCTCGGAAGTCCCCCCGTCGCTAATCCACGCCCCCTTGACTGCACGGTTTCCCCCGGGGCCGGGAGGAGTAGTAGGGGGGGGGGACGAGGGGGAGGAGGAGGAGGAGAAGATGTAGGAGGAGGAGGTGGAGAAGGGGAAGGGGGAGGAGGAGGGGAGGTGGAGGAGATGTAGGGGGGAGGAGAAGAGGAGGAGGAGGAGGAGGCCGAGGAGGAGGAGGATGAGGAGGGAAGGAGTAGCAGGGGGGGGGACGAGGGGGAGGAGGAGGAGGAGGAGAAGATGTAGGAGGAGGAGGAGGAGGAGGAGGAGGAAGAGGAGGAGGAGGAGGAGGACGGGTCGCCTGAGCCCTTCGGAGCAACCCTCCGCCCCCTGACCCCTGGTTGCGATCGCCCGACTCTCGGGGGTCCGCGCGGCTCTCCGCGGCCGCCCGCTGCGCGCCGAGAGCGGCCCTCCTGCACACCGGAGTCACGAGGGGCGGCCCCGTTGGCGCGGCGCCTCTCGCGCCGTCGCTGGCAGGCGATGCGGCAGCATGCAGCGTGCCTGCACGCCCGGGTGCGGCCCCCCTGAGCAGCGCCCCTGTGGAGCGGACGCAGCGCGGCACACCGCAGGAACTCGACCCTGAGGCCCCGGGACGACCCTCGCGTGCTCTGGTGCGGGGCCCCTGAGCCTATCCCCCCCTGGCGTTCCTCCTCTGCCGTCCTTGGGGGCCTCCTGCTCTGGCAGCCCACCCACAGCCCGCGCACGTCCCGCCCACACAGCGCGCAGGCAGGCGTCCGCCGCCGCCCGCAGCCGCCGCACCCGGGCACCGGCGCCCTGCCAGCCGCGGCCCCCGCCGCGGCGGGCGAGCCGCCCTTGCCTGCGGCCGTGCCGGCGCCCTGCTGGGGGGAACCAAAAAACGGAACGATCGAAATGGGTACGTCAAGAGTTGTTGAGATGCCCCACAGCAAGCCCTGTTCATTCTGATCCAGATTCGCGGTCCGCGCCGCCGCGGACGTTGTCCTTTGCAGACAAAAAGCCGCCTGCCCAACCGCGGCCGCTGTCGGTTTTGGGCAACGTTTGTCGTTGGACGCTGTACCCATGTTGCTCGCACGCATTCGGGCGTCTCAACAGGAAGGCACCGATACCGCCCACACCCGTCGGATCCGTGGCAATGTTTCAACACCGGGCGTGAAAAGCCCGGGGTCGGGCCCCGGGGCCATCACAGATCGATCCGGCTCGAAAAATGCGGCGGAAAGATGGCGTCTGAGGTCAGGTCGGGCATGTTCTCCTACAGGGAGATTGCGGACGAGAAATGAACAATAGCAACACGTTACTCCAAAATCATCCACAAATATTTGGGAGCCCGCCCCCATGCTATGTTTTACTATTGTTGCACGTCCCTCCCTCCTGTGGGGGGGCACGCCCGATGGAGAAGGCTTCCGTCGTGAATTCTTGCGGTGCTGCCGTCCTGTCGCAGCGTCGGAACTCAGGGCTGCTCCCAGGCCTCTCCCGGGGTGTGCTCTGACCTGGACGTCGAGGCGCCTCCCGCCGTGGCGGCGAGGGGCGAGAGCGAGGCAGGGGCAGCGGGTGCCTCGATCTCCGCCCGCCGAACCTTCCGCGGGGCAGGTGCCACCTCGGCGCAGTAGTACGGGCGGGGGCCGCCGCTGCGACTGCGGCGGCGGCGGCCGCAGCGCGGCTTCTGCCGCGCGGAAGGTGCGGAGGGTGGAGATCGAAGGGCATCCCAGAGGCCTGGAAATGAGCACCAACACCACCACCGGGGGTTGCCTCCACGGGGGGAAGATGATCGTGGGTGTTGGTGCTGGCGGTAACCTTGTGGCAACCTAGGAAGCCCGAATACTACCACCATCGCCGAGATTGGGAGCATCTTCCCTCGGTGGCGGCACCCCGCCGATATTGGTGTGGATGTCAAACTCTAGGTCTCTCGTGAGTGCACGTTACGTGTTTTCCTTCCGCCACCCCCCCATTCTCCCCCTCCTCCTCCTCCTCCTCCTCCTCCTCCTCCTCCTCCTCATCCTCCTCCTCCTCCTCCTCCTCCTCCTCCTCCTCTTCCTCCCCTCCTCCCCCTCCTACTCCTTCTCCTCCTCCTTTCGAGACCCTTTCAATATAGGCTCTGCAGCGCCGCCGCGGCGCCGAAGCCTCAGTCCTCCTCCTCCTTCCTCCTCCTCCTCCTCTCTCCTCCTCCTCCTCCTCCTCCTCCTCCTCCTCCTCCTCCTCCTCCTCCCCCCTCCTCCTCCCCCCTCCTCCCTCCGCTCCTCCTCTCTTCGCTCCTCCTGCAGTGCTCCGTGCGCCCTGCTCTGCTACGCCGGCTGCAGCGCTTTCCGGCCCTTCTCCGCCCGTGCCCTCCGTGGCCGCCCCCTTGCGGGCATGCAGGTCCGACGTCACTTGGCTCTGGGCTTCGGACGTGGATGAAGGGGCCCTGGGACCCACAAGCAAATACACACAAATAAGAAGATTCCCTCTTTTTTCCTATATTTTCTGGGTTTTTGTCTTCACCCCCATTTCCCATATTTTCCCACATTTTCCTGGCAGTCGACAATTAGTTGTGCCTGTGTTTTTTCCTCTCCTGAGTAGAGGCGTCCTAGATCGCAGATGGGGTCCGAGTATCCAATGTATCGCCGAGGCATCGGCGACGTCGGCGGTGCATCGGCGACGTCGGCGTGGAGAAAAGCGGGCTCCGCATCGAGCCGCATCGTCGATTCATCGGCAACGTTTCGCGATCCTCTGATCCCGTCTACTCCGACCCCGTCTGGGAGGCCTGGAGGACGAGGGACGCGGTCACGTTTGTTCCTCCGGCCTTCGCCTCGGCGGGGCCGGCGGCGCTGGAGCCGGCCTTGCGCGGCTTGCGGGCGTTGAGGCCGCCCACGGGCTCTACGCCCTGGCAGAGGGCATAAAAAGCACCCCTATGAGAGGAGCGCGATCTTGTTTTATTATTAGGTCGGGCATGTCCGTCTTCAGGGGGACTTGCAGGAAAAATTAAGAAAATTCAAACAACAAATAAAACATGATCAAACATAATCAAAAAAATGCCTCCAGACAATTATTTCACTTTGATATTCCTCCTGTAGAGGGACACGCCCGACTTCATGATAGGAGAGCGCTTTTATCCCCGGGCGATATAACGGGCGTCACCGGGCGGGGAGGAAGGGGGGAGGGGGCTGGTGACGTCACGTTTCGCGCCAGCGCCGTCTGGGAACGTCTAGCCGACTAGCCATGACTTGGGGAGATGTGGTCCTTATCCACCAGGGGGAACCCATCGCATCGACGATCTCTCGAGGGGTGTCGGAATCGATGGGTCCACAAGGGGGGTAAGGACCACAGCTACCCCAGCTGTGGCTGGCCTGTCTAGGAACAACCAAGAAGATAACTCGGAGGTCAGCACGAATCGTACCGATACCTGGGGGGCGGGGAAGGGGCGGCCGGGGCCGGTATAACGGCCGCAAGCGCGGAGAAAAACTCCCCAGAAGCACCCCGACGAGCGCCAGGCCTCTCAGCAAGCGCCCCTGCGGAGAGAATCGAACAGGGCAGGGCCGCTTTTGGAGGCCTCCTGGATGGGGTCCAGGTGCATGGGGTCGGAGGGGAGCGCGCGCGCATCGCCGACGCACCGCCGGTGGCGATGCACTGGCGACGTCGGCAATGCATTGGCGCAGTCGGCGTGGTGAGAAGCGGGCCGCACGTCGAGCCGCATCGCCGCTGCACGGGCGACGCGGCGCGATGCTCCCACCCCATCTGCTCGGACCCCACCTGGGAGGCCTCGAGCGGGGACCATGACCAAAACTAAACGAAGAAACGCCGTGCCGATCCTGGTCACCGTCCATCTTGGTCAGCGCCAATTCGAAGATCATCCTCGCGAATCGGCGACGGTCGGCACGGAACAAAGATCCCGCAAAATCTTGGGCATGGTCAGTGTGTCTCTTCCCTCGAGTTCCGCAAACGCCACCTGTTGAGAAGAGGAAAGCCAATCCCCACCCCCAGTTCCGACCCTCACCCCCCAACCCGCCACCTAGGGGGTCGGGACTGGTGGTAGGCGTGGGCTCCCGGAGCTCACGGACCCAGAAAACACCCCGATCCAATGGATCGCTGGTTCTGGGATGGGGGCGGGGGAAAGGGGATTTGACTTCTGGACTGTTGGGGTCGGGACTGAGAGTAGGCGTGGGCCCGTGGAGCCCAAGGACCCAGAAAACGTCCCCAACCCCCCTTCCCGATCCCCTGGATCGCCGGCTCGGGGGCAGGGGTGGGGGAAGGGGGGTTCGCCTCCTGAACTGTGGGTGGGGAAACCCGGGGGTACCGATACCGATACCCCCCGGGACCTATGCGGGGTGCGTTCTCACCAAAAATTCCGAGGCGAATCCAGCGGTGGCGACGACGGAGGCCAAGGAGGCCCAAAAAAAGGGAAAACGAGGGGAGGGTAGAGGCATGGGTACCTTTTCCCTCCTGGGGGGCGGAGGAGGAGGAGGGGAAGATGAGGGGCAGCGATATGCCGGGGATCCGCTCAGGCACGGGCGGGAAGCATCGATTTCGACAGGTTTTCGGGCGTTGTCGTGGGTTGCCAGCGGTTTGCCAGCCTCGGGCTGATCTCTGGCAGCGCTGCCTCCAGAGGAAGAGGAGGAGGAGGATGATGATGAGGAGGAGGAGGAAGAAGAGGAGGAGAAGAAGAAGGAGGAGGACGAGGTTGAGGAGGAGGAGGTTGAGGAGAAGGAGGTTGAGGAGGAGGAGGCTGAGGGCTGGGGCTCCTCCCCTGGGCCTGCGTCTGGCTCGGACAGTAAGCGCACCGCACGTACATGGCCGTGCACCGCTGGGCCAGGGCGCGCACCTCGGGGAAGGGCAGCGCCCACAGCAGCGCCGCGCGCGGCACGAAGGCGCGCATGCGGCCCAGCAAGTCTGCGCCCGCCTTGGTCCACTGCACGACCTTCTTGGTCCACTGCACGACCTTCGCTGGTGGGGCTGGTGGTCTCCTCCTCGCCCCTCCGCTCCTCCTCCCCTCCTCCTCCTCCTCCTCCTCCTCTCCTCCTCCCCTCCTCCGCCTCCTCCTCCTCCTCCTCCTCCCGCGTCCCCCCCGTCCTCCTCCCCGTCCTCCTCCTCTTGCGTCCTCTCCTCTCCTCTCAACCTCCTCCCCCCCTCCTCCCCTCCTCCTCCTACCTCCTCCTCCTCCTCCTCCTCCTCACTCCTCCTCCTCATCATCCATCTCATCAATCAGCATCATCATCATCATCATCATCATCATCATCATCATCATCAATCATCATCATCATCATCATCATCATCATCATCATCATCATCATCATCATCATCATCATCATCATAATCATCATCATCTCATCATCATCATCCTGCCCTGCTCCTGCTCTCCTCCTCCTCATCCCTTTCCCCCCTTGCCTGCGCACCTCCTGTTGTTTCCTCGCTCCTCTTCCTACCTTCTCCTCGCCCTCCTCCTTGTCCTCCTCCTCCTCCCTCCTCCTCCTCCTCCTCCTCTCCTCACTCCTCCTCCTCCTCCTCCCTCCTCCTCCTCCTCCCTCCTCCTCCTCCTCCTCCCCCTCCTCCCTCCTCCCCCTTTCCCCTCCTACTCCTCCTCCTCCTCTACTTCTTATTATTGTTGTCTTAATGATGATTTCTTAGTAGTACAGTAGTAGCAGTAGTAGTAGTAGCA